CTCTTTTCTCTTTATTTCTATTTCTCTCTCTTTTCTCAATTCTTCGTCAGTCTCCTTACTCCACTCTTATTCTTGCAATTCTCTCCGTCTTTCTTCATTTTCCCCTCTTTCCTGCCTCTCCCTCTCTCTCTTTCTCTATCTTTCTCTTATTCTTTCTCTCTTTGTCTTTCTCTTTCTTTCATTTTCTCTCTCTCCCATCAATTCTTCGTCAATCTCCTTACTCCACTCTTATTCTTGTAATTCCCTCCTCTCTTTCTTCATTTTCCCCTCTTTCCTGCCTCTCCCTCTCTCTCTTTCTCTATCTTTCTCTTATTCTTTCTCTCTTTGTCTTTGCCTTTCTCTTTCTTTCACTTTCTCTTTCTCCCATCAATTCTTCGTCAATCTCCTTACTCCACTCTTATTCTTGCAATTCTCTCCGTCTTTCTTCATTTTCCCCCTTATTTTCTCGCCGCCGCCCACGCCATCTTCTTCCTTTCCTTCCGCTCTCACTCCTTTTTCCTTTTCCCATATTCTGTACCCACATGGACCCAGCTGATGGCCTCCGGCGCCGCTTCGAACAGGGCGCAGGTGACTCATTTTCATGCTGGTACCGAGAACGGCCGCCAGGAGAAACTTTGGCGCTGTTCGTCGGTTCGAAGGTCTTGGCGGGATGCCTCTGTAACATGCGATGAGAGGGAGAGGGGGAGAGAGAGAGAGAGGGAGAGAGAGAGAGAGGGGAGAGAGAGAGAGAGGGGAGAGAGAGAGAGAAAAGGGGGGGGGGAGAGGAGGGGGGGGGGGGGGAGGGAGAGAGAGAGAGGGAGAAGAGAGAGAGGAGAGGGTGGAGAGAATGAGAGGGGGAAGAGAGAAATGAGAGGGGGGGAGAGAGAGACTGAGAGGGGAGAGAGAGAAGAGAGAAGAAGGGGAGGGAGCGAGAAAAAGAGAGAGAGGGGGAGGAGAGGAGGCAAACAGATGAATAGATAGATAGACAGAGTAGGGTTGGGATAAAGGAGGAAGAGGGAGAGAAAGAGACAAAGAGGAGGAGACTAAGGGAGAAAAGAGAGAAAAACCGTTAGTCCGCTGTATAAGCCTCAACCTCTGCGTCCTCAGAAAGATTTTGAGCGCTATTCATACAATGATTAATACGATCTGCCTCAAATGCGTCGCCATTATCGCATACCCTTATATAAATCATATTTAAACTTCAATTAAATAAGTCACGGCTCATAATCCACGGTATTTTCAAGATGGCAAATCATTTAAAAGAAAACGGAGAGAGGGAGAGGGAGAGAGAGAGCGAGGCAGCAAGGGTCAGACGAAAAAGAAAATGGGTATAGAACAGGAAAAAAGGGTTATTGAAAAAAATAATAACCCAAAGAAAAGAAAGACGTAACAGCACTAACTCTTATCACGTAAGCCCCGCCGGAGACGCAAGACCAGCCAGGGCGCCATCTGTAGCATCCGGCCGCCATTACAGCCGTCTGGCGCTGGAACGGGAGGGAGGGAGACGAGGAGAAGGAAGAAATAAGAGAGCGAAGAGAACGAAGGAGAAGAGCAAGAAATGGAAGGATTAGGTGAATAAAAATGTAGTAATGGTATAAAACAATTAGAAAAAATGGCGAAGAAAAATATTATGGAGAAAATGAGAGAGCAAAGGGGAAAAAAAATTATATATACTTTTCTTATTCGTAATTGCCATATGTTATGAGGTGATCCATGAGCTCTTATGGCTCCCCTACCTCATAAATATACTCATAAGACCCACCCCCCATTGGCACGCCCTCCCTTCCCCCCTTCCCTCCCTCTTCGCCATTTCCCTAATTCACCCTGGGCCGCCATTATCAGCACCGGTTGAAGCACATATCACAGTCTTCGATTTTGGAGATTAAAGGGAGAAAGAGAGACACTGGTGATGCGATGTTAAGGAGAGGCGAGAAAAGGTTAAGAAAGAGAGGAGAAGAGAGAGAAAAGGGGAGGGGAGAGATGAGATAACATGAAAAGAAAAGAGAAAGAAGGACACTTTGGTGATACGATATTATGGAGAGACGAGAAAAGGTTAAGAAAAAGAGTAAATGGAAATAGGGGGGGAGTAGAGAGGAGAGAGTAAATAGGGAGGAGTAAAGAGATAGAGAAAAGGGAGGGGAGAGAAGAGATAACGGATGAAAAGAAGAGAAAGAGAGACACTTTGGTGATATAAAGGAGAGATGAGAAAAGATGAGAAAAGGTTAAGAAAGAGAGTAAATGGAAATAGGGAGACGTAGAGAGAAAGAGAAAAGGGAAGGGAGAGAAGAGATAACAGATGAAACGAAGAGGAGAGAATGTAAGTTAAAAAAAAAAAAATAAAGAGTAAGATATAAACGCGATAAAACGAGCACGGGAAAAAAAACAGTATGTCGGCATTCTACCCAACAGTTTTTCCTTTTTTCTTTTTCTTTTTTTCTTTTTTTTTATACCAGTTAAGCCTCCCCGGTGTCAGAGGTCGGCGCCAGGATTCCCCTTCCTTTCCTTTACTACAAGGATTGGT